TGATCCGGAGAGCCCCGTGGCGTCGTCCTCGGGCGGAATCCGGTGACTGGATTTTGGTGACTGGAAATCTGGTGACTGGAAAACCGGGGGTTTCCGGTGACTGGGTTTGACGGGGCAACCGTGCGAGTGCTCGCTTGCGCTCTGGTTGAAACAGCGCAACTGCGTTGGTGAAACTGTGTCGTTTGGGTTATTACAAAAATAATCCGAACTCCAGCTGGAGTCAGCTTGGCACCGCCCTGTGCTTGGGTACGATGGTGCCAACGGGGAAGACTATTCCTTGGCTTTGGTAGAGACCCGGGAGGTCCCGCAGCTACGCTTACAGCTATTCCTCGCAGCTACGCTTACAGCTATTCCTCACAGCTACGCTTACAGCTCTTCCTTCTCTTGGCACGTTCCGAGTTGTGTTCGGGGGCTCAGCCAGCAGCGCAGGGGGTCTGTAGCATTAACTAGCGCCTCTCCGTTTCCTCTTCCTCTGTAGCAGAATATCCCTTGGGAGGGCTGGGAATATGTCGTGCATCGCTGGATCCAGCTCTTCCCCTTGCACAGGAGCTGCCCTGGCTCTCCCGGCTGCTCTGTGTCTGCTGACAGCCTGGGTCACGGCTCACAGACTGCCCCGGCTGGCTCAAACCTAACGCACACCACAGCAGCTTCGCTTTTCTGTGCTTTGCCCTACGTAAGCGTGTCCGTTTGAACCAGCCTGTAGAGCTTTAACGGAGAGAAAGCAATTGCTCGACTTCATATCTAAGCAGGATGACAGCTGAATGTGGTTTTGCAGGGTGTATCTTGAGGTTTTTAATTGCAGCTGATCAAACGGAGCCTTAAGTGTTGTCCCAAAGACTTCAGGACACAGTGCTTCCTGCCAGGCACGGTGGCAGATGGCTTTGCCAGAGGTGTCCCAGGTGCCGTGGCCAATTCCTCGGGCTGCGCAGCGGTGGGTTATACCTACGCTATCTGTATGGTGAAAAAAGCATCTCCGTTTCGGAGACTGCCGAAGCTGCACGTTGAAAGCGCTGCTTCTTTCCGTGTCCTGTCAGAGTGACTAGGGCTGGCATCCTCGCCACTGGGATCGCTGTGTCCGGCCATGAACTAAAGGATGTGCCTCAGACATTCGCTCCTGATTATAGGCATCAAATTATTATAATCTCCTGTAGTAAGCTGTTTAAATGTTTAACTATATTTACTCTGTTGAGTTTGAACTTTGTTAGCCTGCTCTGTATCTGTTGTAGTTTATCCTGTCTTCGTTATGCTACAGCCCCTCCCAATATCACCTAGCCCGTGCTAGATGACCGTGGTGAGCTCCTCTGAACCTTGGCCGTTCGCTGCAGCTATTCTCTCTGCTCTTGAGAACCGCCTGAACGTGGCCGAGTGTCTGACCTTTTACTGCCAGATGTACAGAGACATTAAATATCTGTAACATAAGGAGGAGCACGCTAGCTCAGACCAAAGGCTTTCTAGATGTGTGTTTTTCCCTCTCTGTTTGTTCTGATAATTCCCAGTATCCTGTTTTGACTGCTGCTGAGCAGCAAACTAATGTTCTCAGGGAACTCGCTGCGAGAGCATGGATTTTTTTTCCGCTTGTAGTGGTTAACACAAACTGGAAATGTTTGCCTTTCTCCGACCTGCATTCCTTTTTTATCTACCAACTTACAGACTTTATCTGTCATTTTATTAGTCTTTTGGCATCGTGAGAGCTTTCTACAACTGTGAACAGCTTTAGATTTTACTGTCCTGGAAATCTGTGCCCTATCCCAAAGAATCATCAATTTTTGTTGCATATCTATTAATCTCTTTTCCCATCTAGTTTTCATGAATCTGCTGAACGGATTGTAGCTGGATTCTCTTTTCACTATGGATTCATCCTAGATTTGCTTCCTTTCTTCTAGTCTGCCATAGACTCTCCTTGGTCCAGCTTAGTTTTCTCAAAAGCCTTTACGAGGGACACTTCTGGTAGCTTTTTGGGAGTGCTAGTGCATGGTATGTTTTTTTAAATAAATCAGTTGACTGTATGAATAAACTAGCGGATTTCTCAGAAGTGAGGTTCTTTTAAAAAAAGCCGGTGGCTCTCTCCCAACATGTTATAATTGGAGTGTGAACTCTTCATTTACAAGATAACGTTGGAGCAGCCTCACCCCCATCAGAAGCAGCGATACTGGGTACTGCCTGGTACCAGGCTTTTAAAGTAGATGGTTTTAATCTTGCAGGTTAAAAAAGTAGTTCTGTTATGTCTTGTAAACTGGTGCTTTAATTAGTCTTTATATGCCTGGTAGCAAATAAAGAAACATACAGTAGTGTGTAAGTGTTGTTCTAATACATCGTTTTGTTCTCTGAAGTAGCTGCTGCTGTTGTTTCTCTCAGCCGGTTGCTTGATGTATTTAAAGCAAGTTGACTTAACATGTCTGAGTAATGGTAAGTGGCCGTCCTGTGAATGCCCTCTTAAAACCTGTGGCAGTCTTAATTTTCATTTCTCTTCCTAAACCAGAGTGGTATCATCTTGTCTTTTGGTATCTGGGCTGGCCTCAGATGTCATGAAACGTTGTGGGAACTGCCAGTGGAATTCAGAAAAATGGTCTTTTGTAATTGGGAGCTCAAAGAGCCTTTAACGTAGTATGCGTGTTTATTTTTGTTAATGAAGTCTGGTGGTACTTTCATGTCTGTTGTTCTTTCTTTCCCAGTAAGGATGATCTTTATTTGTATGTGGGGGTGGTTTTTTGTGGGGGGGGGATGTTGTGAAGATGGGTATTGGGCCAGTATAGTCTGATAAGCCGGTCAGTGAGTCGGTGCTGGTATCTTAGCCCATCATCTGATGTGAACTGGTCCTGCCACCCAAGAAGCCATCCTCTCTCTTCCTGGCTATTTTCCACCTCTCTGCCCCTCACCCCGGCCACTCCCAGCGTAATTTATGGAGTGAGCAGGAGCAGGTGAAACTGTGGTTGCAAAGGCTGACTCTCGATGACAGCGCTGTTGTAAGTACCTGAGGAATTATGACGACTAACCTGGGGAATTCCCTGCGAGTGGTTTGCAGAGTTGATTCAGAAGTCCTCGTGGCGCTGCCTTCCTGCTCATCACAGGCTGCTGGGCTGGAGGCAGCTGTTGGTAATGGACAGGAATTCTCTTCGGTGACTTGGTGCCAGTGGCTGCTGTTAATGCTTTGTTCCCCTGATGTTAAGACACTTTTAAAGAAACAATTGGGCTAAGCTGTTCAGTGTAGCAGCAGAGAAAGTTCTGTCTTAGCTGAGCACCTCTTCTACAAACTTGAAAGTTAAACGCTATCTAAAATCGTTATTAGAGCGGTACCACTCCTGTCTTCCTGGGTTTTTTAACCAGTCACAGCGTGTCTGATGGCTTCAATGCAGGGTGTTGCAAAAAGACTTAGAGCTTCGTGTCTCACACTGCGTCCCCCCACCCACACTTTCCTCCTTGCAGAAAGGTAGGAATGGGAGCTGCTCAGTTTTCCAACATTAGCTTTTAATTAAGTTTTTAATTTCTCCTTTTCAAGTTATTACTGTGGATGTAAGAGCAGACATCTGTGCCAGAATCCATTTGAAATGTTACTAGCTTGAAGCAGCAGCAGTGGGTTTTTTTGAGTCGAACCTGGGTGTCTCATACTGGAAAACACCATTGAGAAAGAAAAGGAAAAGGAGCCATGTTGGCTCAAATTTTAAATTTGGGAAGCGAGTTT